TAAAATCACTAAATAATCAGGGTTAATATCAGTTAAAATCACTAAATAATCAGGGTTAATATCAGCTAAATCACTAGTTAATCAGGGTAAATATAAGCTAACAGCTAACCTTCCTGCTAACAGTCCCATTTTACCGTAAATTGGTCTCGGTTTTTCCCGCCGTTCGGCTCTTCTCACTCCGGCATCTTTCCTACGTCACTGCGCTCGTTTCAGACAAATTCACTTTAAACTGAAACAAGGATAAAAAATAAGATTGAGTAAAATAATCTGGTTATTCCTGACAGCCTTCATCAGAGACGTCGGTGACGTAGCACTATGCGACGCTGAAGCCTAGCAGAGCCTTACAGATAACAGAGTTCCGACAATTCTATTGGCGACAGAAGAGCAATGGCGGCGCCCAGAGCTTCGATAGTTTAATAAAAGTTAGCGGTTCATGCTAGCATAGTCACAGACTTTAGTAAACCGGGCTGAACTACAGGAAAATAGAAACCGATCTTAAATATCACATCTGCTCTCTCCGGTCTCCATGGCTCTGCAACATATTATGACGTTGCTGTGACGCAATCAAACAGCGACTGGCTCTATGGCGTTATTTTGGTGAGAAAAATTAGTTTTCATTTGATTAGATGTTATTTCTTTATTCAGGAAGAATGTTTGTTATTTGGGGGCGGCTTCCTGTTACAGTCGGTTTGTTTACTTTATTGAATCTTTATTTCAGTTTTAGATTGAATGCTGTAATTCTTTCCTTTAAAAGAAAATGTATGTTTTTCTGTCCTGTAACGATTACAGAGACAGAGCTTCTAGAACATCATGTTTTATGTGTTTAAGCTGGTTTTAAACGCAGAGTAAGCCCATGGTAACTCTAGGGTGGCTGCAGAGAACTAAAGCTCAGGTGGGAAATTATTTAGTTATTTTGTTCAATATATCAAAAGGCCATCAGACAAGCTTGTGCGAGTTAAAATCAATCCACTGGACTTTGTTTCCAAGTTTGAAGACGTCTGGCTTCCCATCCAGGAAGACTTTTCATTTCCAAATGTCTGGATCAGCGCTGAGTTCCAGGCTTTCATAGAGGAGCCCAACTAAAGTATTTTAATGGCTTAAAAAACATGAACATTGAAACTGGAAAACCAGCTCCAGCCCTTAATAATGGGAGTTGTTGAGGTTTTTATTGGCCTGCAATACTCGATACTGGTCCATTCCTCTGAAAAGGCGTTAAACGTCATCGTTGGCCTGGCTGACCTGTGGAGGGAGATGTTTTGTTCCCCTGCATAGCGATGAGTTTGAGATGGTTTTGGGAAGGAATCAACTGTATCACTGCGTTGTAGGTTTTTATACAGCTGACACAGTTGATCCTGACATTTTGAAAAAGATTCCTGGATGGGAAGAGAACTTTTTGGAATGACTCTGACCAGGATGTCTGAGAATCTCCTCCAGCATATGTGCCGTTCAGCGCAGCAGACATGGAGCCAGCAGCTCTGGACAGAGAAGCTTTAGTCCCACATGCAGAATGATCAATTTAAAGGAACCCTTCTCTGGTATCAGAGTTTATGTCCATCAGTCATCTGTCTGTCCATTTCCATGGAGACGGGCGCCTTATCCGACAGTGGTGGTCCACCCTGGACAGGCCTCCCAGTGGTGAAGACCTGTCTGTCCCTGACTGACAGGTCTTCACCTCCCAGTGGAATCAACTCTTGCATCAAATAATGTTTCAAAGCTTCCATTGTGACGTAAATCTAAAGGTGAAAGAAGAAGCGAACTTGAGCAATAAAAAGGAAAAAGGGTGGTAATAAGCCTGAGTCTGGTTGCAGGTTCCTGGACGGAGCGCAAGCATCCTTTGGTTCTGTTCAGAAACCAACTAAACTGAGACAGGATGGAAATATTCACGTCCTAACCTCTGCTGTGTTTTAAGCAGGGGATGGATTTCACAGAATGCTATGAAGACACGGTGTCCAGCGCGGCTGCTGCAGCCCGCTCAGGCTGCAGGAGGCAGCTGAGGAGGCTGATCGACAGAGGCTGCAGTGTGGACGGCCGGGATAACCGTGGCTGGAACCCCCTGCATGAGGCGGCGGCCGCTGGCAGCAAAGAGTGTGTGCAGGAAATACTGTCTGCAGTGAGCGGTAAGAAGGACCAGGAAATGTTGAACAGATGCCACTGAATGTCCCGTAGATCAAACACTCCATAAAATGGACACTTATAAGCTTTAATAGCACCAGAAGACACAGTAAAAATCCAACAACAGATCATCAATAGATTAAAACAATGATTGAATGAGAGGGCCTTCAGGATTAGCTGGGGTTTAAATTTAGACGGGTGAGACAGACTGAGGCGGTGAGGAGAATCAAAGGGAGAGAGGAGGAGGAACCAGCTGGTTACCACCCGATCCCTCT